ATTTATATATTTATCTTTAGCCTCGCCGAGTTGAGACTTGCAGAACGCCAGGACTTTGGAGTGTATCTCTATCAGATTTGCACATCTAAAATCTAAAAGACTTTGCAAAACAGCTCAAACTCAGTCATAGCTAATTAACTTAGGCAACCATACTCACATTTTCAGGAATAGAAGGAAGACTCTTTGGATCTGGAGCGATAAAATATGGAATCTGTCCAGAAAAAAAAACAACCATAAAGCCACAGTAAGAAAAAGGGAAGAAAATAGAGGACATACTTTTTTATAGCATTGTGGATGTAGTCTAACATCTTGGTGCATATGTGAATAAAAGGCTGTCACACTGTCCATTTTTATTCCAAAATTATCAGCCCAATAATTGTACTTTTACATGCAGACTGTGCTGCTTTTGAGCAATTTTCTCTTTCACAGCTTTGAGTCAAATATCTGTTTTTGAACCATTAACGCCGTCTGTTCCTGTAAAAGCCTAATGGTGCACCATATGCATCCTGTTAAACTTCTGGTTTAACAAGATCGGTTGCAAAGTCTGCATTCAGACTTAAGAAACCGTATTTATGCTGCAATCAAAACTACATCAACATTTCATTGCATGCCGTGACACAGATGCGAAACACGAGAGTTATTTAAAATCAGGGGGTTAATTTGTAGGTGAATTGGATTAGAAATGCGCAGCTGCTGGAGATGGCTTTGTCATTTTGGAATGAAACCCAAACACAAAAACAAAGATGATACAACAAGCTGTAGCTTGGAGCCAGATGGAGTAAATTCTCAGACAAACCATTTCCATAATGAGGCATTAGTCATGGGTTTTTAAACAGACTGTAGATAATAATGAAAGCTAGCTAGTGTTAACTGTGTTAGAATCAGCATAGACATGTCATCTCTCAGAGGGGTGAGTCAACAGAGTTTTAGTTCACACAAAAATAAAAGCTTAAGTCATCAAGCACAGACAGCCAGCGTTAGTCTGAACAGGCCCGGCTGCATCTGCCTCTGGGCCACATGGACTCCGGTGGCACCAACTCACCCCCTCTGGTCCCTCTGTGTGTCCGACAGAACGGGACACCTCAGTGCTCACCAAAAGCTGCTCTCCCTCAGGAAAGAAACACAACACGCAAACCACTGACAGAACACGTTCAAACTCAAGTGTGACTCCCCGGGTTCTCGTTGGCTAGTTAAGAGATTTACCATCTGCAGGGTGACGGATCCGGGAGCCAGCGGGATGGTCTGCTTGTAGAGCGTAGCCAGGAGCGCCTTGATCTCATTGATCTGTTGAAGAGGTGGGTTATGTTCACGCGATGCTCGTGCAACAGTGTGGAGAGAGTGGAGATTAGAGGTTAGGACCTGGAGAACTCACCTGTCCTTTAGAGAGGTAGTCGGCCAGACTGTTGAGAAGTTTGTAGAACACCTCGAACCACGGGAGATAACTGTTTGAAATCGATACGGGATGAAATCACTTTTAAAAAAAAAAAAAAAAAAAAAAGAATCGATTCCCTTGTGAAT